CTATTCAGGCACAAATGTCTATCATCGGCTCCATGATTCGTGTAGAGGCGGGGTTTTGCCAACTCAAAGCGTGGCGGTTTTTGATAGCGAGAGAGTACAAAAAACAATGGTATGACGTGGAGGTTTGTTTACCTGTGCTATCAGGCAAAGTCTGCAATACACCTCTACACGAATCGTGGAGACGATCATACTATTTGAGTTACATAGAATGAGTGAAGATCTTGAGCGATGAAAGCTTATCAATATCATGTAACGAGCTGGTGAGCATGTTGTTGAACCAGCAGCAACAAGTTGATGATGACAGGCTAGAGATTGTACAAGATTGACCTTTTTCTGTGAACTTTTTGCTTAAACTTTCTTGTCCTTTTTCTGTGACTTTTGTGCAGCACGACTCCGCTTCTCGATGCTAAGGGTTGGAGAGCTTTGTGTAGGCCCGTAGTTTTTGCGTTTGCTTGTGTTTCTAAAGACTTGTTTCTTTTGTTTCCAAATCTGGTTACCTTGTTGTACTCACGATGAACAAATTCAGGATCCACATCTCGTTTCATATACTGAATGGACAGTATCTGCATGTTACGAGGTAATCTATAACAACCATGAAAGGTGCACTCTCTGTTCAACAACTCTTGCCTCTTTTCATCTGTCACAAAAATGAAGGTCATAGAGGCCAAGTCTACACCATCAAAACTTGTGAAGAAAGTCTTTCAGTTCATTCTACCGCATGCATATTTGGTTATGACATCATGGAAAGCAGCTTTATCTTCAGTGCGTCGCAGTAGATACTCAAGGAATGCGCTCAGATGAGGAGTGGGAGGCAAAGAAGCGAGAGGTGTCTGAACATACTATTTCTCACACGCCGTACTTATGTTTTTGTATTCTTATCCACCCATCTGTGAGATATGAACGAATATGTGGGAAAATCGTGTGATAAGTAGTAAAATTAGAAAGCGTGATAGCGCCCTACTCAAGCTGGAGGTGCCTAAGCCTACCTAAGTGCCGAAATTGACGTATACAGTGGTTTTCACGAACAGTTTTATTGAAATCCATCTGAACTTACAGCGCTTACCAGCAAGCTACTACCCATTCTGAGAATAGAAAACTCGAAACGCTCTGTACCTACAAGTTAATGTGCTCGAATTGATTTTATCCAAGTAGTCTATCACCAAAATTGAGATGTGTCAAAAGTGCTTTTCAAATTGAAGCATTTTTGAGTTTCCTAGTATCAAAAAAACTAACTTACCTCTTGACACTTGAATATGCAGCTTTCTTCTTCTTATGGCTGCCGTGTAAGAAACGTATACTCAGTAGAAGGCCTTATCTACATATTTAGGCACACACAAATCATTACTTTCTTATCCATGCTAAGTTCTTGAGGCTACATATCAATGAAGGATGATCTAAATGGCAAGAGATGAAAGGTAGATCATCGCACGTTAACAAATGGACTTGTTTTTGTGATTCTCCTGCAGAAAGAAGTTGTTTTCTCTTCACTGTCCCTTATTTCGCGCTGAAAGTTATAGGGTGTGCGCGCTTAATCGCTAGGGTTCCGAGCGGAATACAAATTTGCACTGGGACATGGGGCGTGCTCTTCGCAGCCATTTGTAACTATAGGTACGAGTACGATTCTGCCTCTATAACCATGGCGGGACGTGCCGTCCAAATTCAAAATGGAAGGCAGGGAAATGGCTTTCGCCATTTTCGCGCTCTTAGGGATCGTTCAGACCGCGCCTGTACCCGCCCAAATACGCCCAAATACGCCCAAATACGCCCGAATACGTCCAAATACGCCCGAATACGTCCGAATACGTCCAAATACGCCCAAATACGTCCGAATACGCCCAAACCCGCCCGAACGCCGAAACTGCCAATGCGCAGCAAATTGCATGCAAATTGGCATATTGGAGCACGCGTGGAATACTGCGTGCGTGATGCATATATGGTAGCCACACGTAGCTCGACGTTACATACCGATTTTCATATGCGACTAGCGGGATTACAAAGATCAATCGACTTTGCGTCTGTTTTTATTTCTTCTCATGTTTGCTGACTCTAGGTGAGTTCTAACTTTCGTGCTGTGCGTTTTCTTGTTTTTTCGGGTTTTTTCCTTTCTGCTCCAAGTGAAAGTGCATCTGCGTCTGTGTGTAAGTACAGTAGGTGGGTATATATTGTTTGTGAGAGTGTGTGTGTGCATGTGTGTGAGTGAGAATGCCGTAGTGTGCGTATGCGTGTGTGTGTTGTGTATGTGTGTGTACTTACACAGACGCAGATGCACTTTCAGGAAGCAGAAAGGAAAAAACCCGAAAAAACAAGAAAACGCACAGCACGAAAGTTAGAACTCACCTAGAGTCAGCAAACATGAGAAGAAATAAAAACAGACGCAAAGTCGATTGATCTTTGTAATCCCGCTAGTCGCATATGAAAATCGGTATGTAACGACGAGCTACGTGTGGCTACCATATATGCACCATGCACGCAGTATTCCACGCGTGCTCCAATAATGGAGTTTTGCTATTTCGCAACGCGTTTGGCTGGTGGCCAAGCACGCGTTGGGGGCGGGGCGATACCGTAACGCGTGCTTGGCCGGGGTTTCTTCATTCCGGTCTTTCGTCAACGTGGGAATAGCCAAGATTCCGATATTCTCTACACTGCGATGTCGGGTCAGTCTCCCGCTACACCTGAGCCTGAGGATGATTTAGTGCAGATGACTAAAGAGCAGTTTGATCTGCTGGTCTCCCAGATTTCGGCTTCGTATTCAACTCCCTCCCTTCCTACCAATACTTCGCCCAGTACCAGGACCAAAGAGCAGTTGGATCAGCTGGTCTCGCAGATTTCGGCCTCGTATTCTACTCCTTCGCCTCAGCCCAGTACTTCGGCATCTTTGCCTGGACCGTCTGCTACGCCGACCTTCACGAAGTCGGGTCTAGAGAAACAATTCGCATTCAACTCATCTGTTTTATCAGTGTTGACTCCGGCTTTGGAGCTGCTGAAGGAGGACGAGACCAAGGACTATCTCAGGAGGGCCATTACCCTCCTCACCCAGAGGAATGAGCTGTTGACGGTGGCCGACGGAAAAACTTAAAGCGTGGGGGTCTAGAACCGAAGAAGAGCGAACGCAAAGTCGAAATTAAGCGATGGGCCGCCAAACGTGTAAGACGGTGAATTACCAACTAAAACTGGGCTCCCCGCAGGAAATACCTTTAAATCCAATATCTGAGGTATCCACGAATTTCCTTCGCGCAAACTTGAGAAAAATATGTTAGACGGCCACACAGGGAATCCTAGAATACCTCTGCTCTTATAACGTTTAGCCCAGACTAAGGTCTTGACAATCAAACTGGGCGGTGGAACCCACCACGCAAATTCATTCCTCCACCATAGCGCTGCTTCCCTGGAAAACGCGTCAACTGCCAATGCTCCGGCACAAGGCTCCTTAGAGATGAAAACGTCACATTTTTTAGTAAACTCGCTGGCGAAGAAATCCATGGTGCAAAAACCCCAGCTCTGCTGCAGCTGCATGCTTATCTCACCCCTAATGCTCCAATCGTCCAGATCCACCGCTCGCGAGGCCAAATCCGCTTCCGCATTGAACTCCCGCGCAATCCAGCAAAAATCCACTGTGAGATTTATCCGTGCGCAAAATTCCCATACGCGCTCGGCCATTTTCTGCAGGTGTGGCTTTGTGGTGCCCTTCCTCAAAATAGCGACGGCTGCTTGATTGTCGCAATGCCACACTGCTTGCTCGTTCGCAAAACGGTCGCCAAAAGCTCTCAATCCAAAAAGGATCGCGTATAGCTCCCTGATCGTACTCGACGTCCCCACAAGCTCCGGAGGCAGATTAGCAGAAGATGACATTTTTTCGCCTACATTCACATGCAAAACCGCACCCACGCCAAACTGAGAGGCATCCGAAAACACCCTTAGCGCGCTATATAGGTCGGGAACCGCCGCAATGGGCATGCCACTAAATTTGGAGTCAAACTTCAGCCAACCTTTGATTTCCTCCTTCTCTTGACTCGCAAGTGGCCATCTGTACTTCAAGGCGGTACCGGCTTGCTCTTTCTCGGCTATTTCTGAGGCCACAGCCTTCCAACAACGCTTCAACTCTGAAGGAAGTACTAGATGCATAGACGCAATGCTGCCTTGCCATTTTAGTCTATCCAAGAGAGACGGGCCTCTCATACTCAACAACCTCTCAGCCAGCCCTCTGGCCCTCTTTCTCCTTTCATCAGTCACATTCAAGGTCATCGCTACTAAGTCAATATCATGGCCTAGCCATACCAACCTCTGGAGCGGGATCCAGGAACACTTTTCCTCGGCTGTCGAGAAGCCGGCATTACATAAGTCAACTCTGACTGTCTCAACTGCTTCCTCGCACCTGTGTGCGGAATCTGCCCATATGAGCCCATCATCCAAATATACCGCTACATTAATCCCTGAAGCTCTCCACTTACCTAGGAGGGGCCTCATTAATTTAGTGAAAACCATGGGGGCAGATGAAAGTCCAAATGGGAGCACCACAAATTTGAATAGATTACCCTCCCAAGAGAATCCGAAATACTTATGAAACCTCTCATTGATTCTAACATGGTGATATCCCGACTTGAGGTCAAAAGAGGCCATAAAACCCCCCGCTGGTAAAACAGGGGCAACTTTAGAGACATCTTCGAACCTCACCTTACTCTTAACCACACTTCTATTCAAATCTGATAGATCCAGTATCAGCCTCAGTTTCTTCCCTTCCGCCACAGAAAGGGGGTTAATCCGCTGGGTCGTTGCGAAATGCAAAACAGAGGTTTTGCCGTAGTCTATCGGAGGCAAAAATGGAGTTTTGCTATTTCGCAACGCGTTTGGCTGGTGGCCAAGCACGCGTTGGGGGCGGGGCGATACCGTAACGCGTGCTTGGCCGGGGTTTCTTCATTCCGGTCTTTCGTCAACGTGGGACCCACCCACCCTCCCTGGTCTGAGGCTGCGAAGATCGAAATTGTTATGACTTGCGTGCCCGCATGGTAGTCGGCATACTTGCGACGGCGCTACCCTGGTACGCGCGGGTAAATCTGGCGTGAAAATTGGAGGATTCACAGGATCGGTAACGGTGCCGGTTTGGCTAGCTTAGGGGCTTTGCACGCGTGGTTCCTAGTATTGGGAGCGTAAGAGCTTGTGTTGGGTTATGGTGTGCCTTAGAGGCGTGCAATGAGTCAGTTGGGAACGTTCTACCAGTTCCTCGTTCAGATCGGCTCATTGATGCTAAAAGAAGAAGGGCCGGAGAGACGGCTGGAATCGCTGTGGACGCAGGCTTGAAGAGAGTAGCGGAGCTAATTGAGTCATGTTTTGACAGCGCACTGGCACCAGGGACAATTCGAATCTACAGAAGAGTGCAAGAGGATTTCCTCAATTTCATCGCGAAGTTCGGAGTCCCTGTGTCTGCGCTAAACAAACTCCGAAACGTATATGTTGCGCACCTGATCGACAAGAACAAAATCAGGTCCCTAGGTTGCCACGTTGCGGCACTAGCGCATTTCTTTGGCCCGCTGCCACGAGAGGATGACGAGATCTTGAGGGCTTTGGTGCGCGGAGCAAAGCGAACGTCCCCTCCAGCGAAGCACCGAAAGAAGGCTACTCAAAAAGATGTTGATGCGGTCATTAGTTGGGCGTTGCAGCGAAAAACACTCGCGGCGATAGCTGGGGCAGCCATGATTCTGCTCGCTTTTGCTGCATTCCTGAGGGTGGGGGAATTGTGCGAAATTCGAGTGTCAGACTTGTCTCGGAAAGGCGAAAATGAATGGTGGCTTACAATTAGAAAATCTAAAACAGACCAAGAAAGACGAGGTTCGGAAGTCGCATTCCGGCTAACGGGACCCGCTCTTATACTATGGAGCGTCTTCGAGAATTTTCTGCCGCGAAACCCGGATCAATATATTTTTAGCCGATCATCCGCTCATCCACCAACAAGGGACACCATCTCGCGAAGGATCAAAAGAGTGCTCAAGGATGCCGGCTTGGAACACAGGTGCCTTACATCGCACTCCTTTAGAGGAGGAGCAGCCACTGCAGCAGTCCGAGCAGGGAGTCACCCTGCCAATGTTATGCGCGTCGGACGATGGCGGTCTGCCGAGGCCTTCTCTTGCTACGTTGATCCCAGCCCTCTTTGATTGGTGCCTGTATTATATCCGTTCCTACAGGATTTCGCTTTGTCTCGTCCTGTTGGACATTGTTCTATTCTTGTTCTTTGTCGGCATAGCGTGAAGAGCACATCGAAGTGTGCCGGTCATTTGATCATCGTTTTGATAAGGGAGCTCGTTATGGACTTTGTTCTCAGGTCATTATTGCTATCTCAGGTCATTTACCGTTAATTTGCGATGTATGATAATCAACTTTTGCTATACGGAATTTGCTCCTCATTCTACGGAAAGTTGCGTTGCGATTTTCTGCGGGTGCTCTATCTCCTTATTTTCTCATTTTGTTTCGCTTCTCTGCCTCAAAAAGCAATCAGTCTCTGTCAGATCGTGTTCGGCGTTAGAGGATCTCCCTGCCATTATTACTCTGGTTGGTCTATTTTGTTCTTATTTTGGCATGTTCCGCATCATACTCGCCTCAGGTTGGAAGCAGTATCTCTTTTATGGCTTCAGGTCATTTCCAGGACTGTGAAAGTATCTCTGTATCATGAATCGATGTAAGACTCCCGCAGATAATTTCCATTATTCATATGTATCTCGTATTTCCGGCAGTATGGCCTATATTGTTCTCTCCTGGCATCTTCCAGGCAGATATGCGTTTCTGGCTCCTGTATAGTTTCGTCTGTAAATTCTGGTATTAACTCTTCCCTGTATGCATTTATCATCTGCCTATGGCCCACGTACTCTGCTTCACTCCTTAACGGCCATCTCATTCATATTCTACTGCCGAGGCGCAGTTTTTCCGTATGTTGTTCATTTACGCTTACGCTGTTTACTGGACTGCGTGTTTATGTTCAAACTTGCTTTATGTCTGTGGGAACGTTCCCTATGTGTATACGTTGACGAAATGAACCTTCTCCCGTCCGCTGGGTCGTTGCGAAATGCAAAACAGAGGTTTTGCCGTAGTCTATCGGAGGCAAAATGCCAATTTGCATGCAATTTGCTGCGCATTGGCAGTTTCGGCGTTCGGGCGGGTTTGGGCGTATTCGGACGTATTTGGGCGTATTTGGACGTATGGACGTATTCGGGCGTATTTGGACGTATTTGGGCGGGTACAGGCGCGGTCTGAACGATCAGTTAAAGATGGATCTTCGGAACCAGCGCCTCAAATTACCCCGAAACTTCAAGTCGAGAATCTGCCGAGCCGCTGCCTTTGGGGGAAACGCGCTCCAATCATACGTCTTTGGGCGCGCGCGGTACAAATTTTCAAAACGCACTCTTACCACTAGCGTATCAACAAACTCCCAATTCAGATCTGTTTCTATTCTCTTCTAAGCATTGTGCAAATATTACCTCTGTAGAGACTTGTCAAAAGAGATATGCCCAAGCTGTCTACTGCAGAGAAAGGTTGAGTTCCAGGTTTTTCACCAAGTTTCTGGATGTAGTAAGCGGTTTTCGACTTATTTCGGATTTGTTTAGAGGAGCAAGCACGTCTGAGCGAAGAAATTGAGCATTTCACGCAACAAGCAGATGATCTTCTTGGCGAGGTGTGTTAGGAGTTTTGCCCTTTTTCATCGGCATGGTATATGGGCAGAACCTAGACAGGGCAGGCTTTACTCATTTTTTTATTGGGTCACTTTTCTGATTGCATCAATTTCAGGTGGTAAGTAAGCGAAAAGACTATCCATTTGCTATCGTCAAATTGAAAGAAAACAGAATTCGTGAAAAGTTTGCACATCTGGTGAGAGATTTTTTCATCGAATGACCTTATTAGCTTTATCTGCTTCAGCTTGAATCGCCGCTACTATCAGTCTCTTCTCCCGCTCATATAGATGTCGAAGAACTGAATAAGACGATAGCAATGAAAGTGGATCAGACGAAAATCCATTCAGAAAAAGTTGAAGACATCAGGAAAGAGAATGAAAAGGTAGGAACTTTTCCTTGGTAGAATAAAGATGGCATGTGGATGGAGAAGGGGACTTTGCTTTTGATTCGAAGATCCGGCTAGTTTTTCTTTCCTATACTTCTATTGTTCATTGTTCATTGGATTACTCGTGGAGTTTCTGGACTGATCGAGCGGTCATTGGTTATCAGTATGATCAGCCGCTCAATACTCTCAGTCAGCAGTGTTTTTTTTTTCTATAAAAGAAGTATGGATAAATTAGTGATACGAGAGCATTTAGATGTTATGGACTTTTGTAGTACTTAAGAAAGTCGCTTTGACGAAAAAAAGGGCGCTATTCCAGTATCCGGGCCCCAAAATTTTTTTGTCATGGATTTCGCTAAAACTTCGCCTAGGGGGGTTATTCGGCATCAGCGGGCCGAATAACCCCTCTGGGCCAAGTTTAGGGCGAATCCGTGATTCTGACCCCTTACCGTAATCTAACCGTAACTCCACCGGATGGCGCTATCGCATGAAATAAACATCATATTTGTGTTCAGCATACCAAATAACCCCCCCCCCCCCTAGACGAAGTTTTAGCGAATTCCACGACAAAAAAATTTTGGGGCCCGGATACTGGAATAGCGCCAAAAAAAGCATATCCTAATATGGTCTTTATATTACCAAAGCCTGCTTAGTCTACCAAAGTGGTCAAATGGGTCTCACAAAGAAGGCGAGTGGATCGTTAGATTTTCGCTTCCACTCAAACCGTCGTTCTTCAACCGTCAAACCGTTGAAGAACTTTTGTCTCATAATACAGATCAATGAGCTGCTTAGTTGCAATAAAGTAAAAGTCAGTCACCATCAACAGGACTGGTCAGCACGCCTTTTGCTGGCATTGTTGAGAAATCTTTGTGATGATACCAGCTGCCAATGTTTTGAAAGCAGTAAACTCACGTTATTTCGCATTGTTATTCGGTCAGTCAGTCGGAATATTTTTGGTCTGAAACATGTCATCTTCCAGTCTGCTTCTGCTGCTTCCACCATATAGCTCCCCTCCCATGTTGCGTAGTATTTAGTGATTGCTGATGTCACGAAATCGGTGGATTTTCTATCCATTTTTGGACCCTCAAAAAAAAACCAGCGGTTTTATACAGAGTGTCCTAAAAAAATGTGCCTACTGTTTGATTGTAAATAACTCTCTTGTAATGATGTGTTTCGAAAAGCTTTAGGTGCCATTTTATAGAGCGAGGTTGAACTTAGATTTACAGCATAGAGCAAATCACTGATCTCTCTTCACTACTGTAGGATTACGGTAAGAACTTCCAACATATGGATTTAATGTGAAGTTTACTATTTAATAAAACTTTTTTCAAAAATTCTGAAAAATCGTGCATTAGGGTTTTCGCGCATGCTGATTCTACCTAACAACTTTTTACGAGTGTTTTCAGCTTTTTTGACGTTGTAATTACATTTCTGACAAATGCTGGGAACTGAGTTATTACGATTTACCGGGGACAACTTTGGAAAGAAGCATCATAGAAAAATGGAAATTTCAAAATCGGAATCAGCGGTTTCCATTACCATAGTACAAGAGTTCTTGGCTTGTTTGGTTCTGTTCGGAGGCAGAATATAGCCTCCAATGGCCCTAAAATCCTTGTCGAATTTTGTACCGTAATCCTACAGTAACGAAGAGCGATAGACGATTCGCTCCATACTGCAAATCTAAGTTTGACCTCGCTCTACAAAACAATACCTAAAACATCTCGTAACACTACATTACAAGGGAGTTATTTACAATCAAACAGTAGGCACATTTTTTTGGGACACCCTGTATAGTGTAAAAAGTATTTTTTGTTGCTTTAAACAGTTTTGATCTAGACATGTAAATCTCAAATCAATAACAACGAGTAACTTATTTACGGAAAGGTGCTTGAACACATCCTTTACTCCTTGCTGGTAATAATCCACGACCATGATTTTTTGATAATTTTTCACGCCCCCATCACTGCCATCTTTTCTTTCCGTAGACGTAGGGCAGCGAGCGCTAATCTTGCAGTGATGAGTCAGATATTTTATACAACAGCACATACGACTATTTCTGTGCAGCTGTGCAAATCGAGACCTTGCACTGTGAAACATTCTGTTTTGAGGATGCCGCCCTTTCAACAATTGATGCAAAAACTTCTGCTTGATCTTGATCTCTCTACCATTCCAATCTATCAACGTCAAAATCTTTTCTCCGTTTTTAACTTACCATTTACTCAGCTGTAGCCATGCTTTGGACATTTTTTATTCGCGCCTATGTCAAGCATGATTAATTTTCTTGAGGTATTTCTCTTCTCAACAAGTCCCTAGTCATTCAAAATAGCCATGATGATCATCGCTGTGTGCTGTGTCATTGGAAGATGGCACATTTCCGTCGAATGGCGTAAAGTGAGAGTTTTCGAAAGTCGGACGCAGTATATAAGCGTTGCTGTATTTTGAAATTTCGCAGATTTGTGATCTTGAGCACGCGGAAGTAAGTTGGATCATGGAGAAATTCAGCTTTTTTTACTCCTTTTATTCCATGTTTATCATATTTTTTACAATGCTTAGGTTCTTCATCTTTACCTTTATTTTTACACATTTCTTGAAAAGCTTGATAAGAGGAAGCTATTGGAGTCGCCCTGAATAAACGCAAGTTTTTTTTTACGCGAGATGTCATGGGCACATCTCCATCTCCCGCAATCAGTAGCAGAAAAATGCTGTTCTTTTAGCGAAGTGACCGCACACCACTTTACTCCTGAACCTATCTTCTCGCCAATAACTTCTCGTAGCTTAATGGGCCACTTGTTTTTAAAAGTGCAGCAGTTCACCTAGTCTCTGCAAGGTATTATTCATTTTGTCGAAACTGCAAAGAATTTTGTCTTCTTTGCAGCCGTTATCTTAGCTATCTGCGGTGGCATCACTATCAATGATGAAACGCCAAAGGGGAGGGGAAACTGTGGGGGAAAAAACTTAGTAGTTTCGAAACTATTTCGTCAATTTTTCGAAAACGGCGCACTATCTACACCAAATGGTTGATTCTGCCGTTGACTGTTACGGCTGTTCCTCTACAAAGTAAGCGATTTTCATTGAAAAAACTGTTGCTTTACATCTTTTCCTAACCATCATGGAGGAATTTTTTCTTTGTTGGGACGTTTAGCCGGACAGACTTGTGAAAACATTTTAAGGGAAGGGGGAACCCATCTTATGTTGTTAAGGTGAAAAAAGCGTATGGTCGTGTTTTGCTCAACTATTACCTTTTCCAGCCACGATTATACTGTTTTTCTTCAAAGTTTCCTATTTATTTTAGCTTGATACTGAACTCGCGACAGTTCAAAGGCAAACAAATATGCTCCTCGCAATGCTCGACAGCGGAAAGTACGCTCCAATCGATGCACTTCCAACAGATCTCAGTCTGTGATCCCTGAAAGTGCAAATTTTTATGCTAACTTGCATGCCCTGAGCTGCATTGCATGTACATTGATCGATCAGCTGTTTGTTTTCAATAAGATCTCGTCAGTTTTGAGCGATTTTTGTATAATATATAACCTTACTTTGTTGTATAATAAAATCGCTATCTGGTTCTTTATTGTTCCATCCTGTCTGATATTGATGACTCGGCAAAACTATCTAGCACGTTCTTGATATCTTTTGCTTCGCTAATACTCGATCTAGGTGGGTATGCCAAGGCTACGTGTGGGCCCAGACTATCGGATGGATGAGGATTCAAACTTTTCTAGCGGTTTGCGCTCTCGTTCCAGATCACCACACCCACTCGTCGGGTAAGTAAATACACTCTTCTAAACGTCAACAGTTATCACTTTCAAGTTGAAACTTCGACATTGTTATCTTCACTTTGTTCATTGATTTTATGAGTCATTGAGAAAACCGGTCTGTTTGCAATAGCATATTACAGATTTGCTGAATGTGTGGTGAGTGTCATGATAGAAAAGACACTTGGCATTTTCGCCCCTCTAGTTTCTTCCTTGTTTTTCTTCCTACAATTTCCGTAACTATTGGGATGGAGAATAATGTTAAACTCCTTCAAAAATCCTACTTTAGAGGCAGTACATCTTATAGCCTTTGTGGCAGTGAAATGGCCCTGGCCAGACTTCGCTCAAAAGCGTCGAAGCGCCCAAACTTTTCAAACCTCTCCTCATTCTCTCTCATCTCTCCTCACATGGAAAGTGAAGAGACACCAGAGAAATTTGGGCGCTTTTGAGCGTTTTTGAGCGAAGTCTGGCCAGGGTCTTATCTACGATTGGGTGTCTCTTTCCTTCAAATTCCGTCAATTATGCAAAAAAAATGTTCTTATCAGTTGTAGAGGTTTCCACTGTACGAAGACATATCATTAGATGCGGTATCGTCTTTTGATTAGGTAAGCCTAAGATTTACGTTACTTAAGCTATGGCGTAAGAAGATTTTTTCGCACCGCCATGTCGCGCATGAGTCGTAAGGCTTCTAAAGTAAAAAGTTCATTAATATTTCGATTTTGCTGCAAGCAAAACATGGAAATCGTTAGCTCTTTGATTTTGCCTCAAGTAAAACAAGGGGAAAAATTCTCCACTAAAAACGAAACAATTTTGACCCATAGTAACGCATGGACTGATGATCAAAAATTGCATTCACCATACCATCCTATAGTAATTTGCTGTTTTACTGCTAATCCTGTAGTTAAACTGCTGTTTTACTATTAATCAGAAAGAAAGTCTTGTAGCAGCAGCAGTACGCAACTTGACACCGGCCAACACTATCGTCGATTTGTTGACCGCACGGACTGCTTAAACGCTGCGGACCACGTGCGGCTTTCCTTAGGCCGCGTTCATACTGATCTCGAAGTTCGAGAACAGTTCCGGCACAGCGCTCGAACTGAGCTCTGTACTAGAACTGTTCCCGAACTTCGGGATCAGTATGAACGCAGCCTTAATTGTCGAGAGAGCACAACTTGTACAATGGCGAATTTGTACTGGGGCAGGCCTTTTACCTCGCGGGTGCTACGCACTGATGTTCAGTCCTGCGGTCAACGAATGCACTCTACGTAAGAGGTCCTAGACAGATCCTTTTCATTAAGTACTATTAACAGTTTTTCTTTGAGCGGCTAATTATTTCTGTCTTTTCAGGTTTACGTCGAAAGAAGAACAAGAACGACAGGACCACGAGTTAGCTTTGCGCTTACAAGAAGAGGAAGTAAACCGAGCGCATTCTCCTGTGGTTGAAGCTACGCTAAGACCAGAAGAAATAGGTATAACGGAATCTTGAAGTGGTTTAGCTCGATGTTCACTTAGCTGATTACCGTATTTCTAGAGGCAATTCTTGGATCGCCTTATGTACCACTGGAGCAAAATGTGCAGAGTATGTAAATAGCTTGGCGTGTTCTTCTCATCTGATGTGCAGATCGATTGCAGACTTAGAAGATTCTGACATGGAAACCATCAGCATTAGGAGCTCTTCCCCACCAGACTCTCCTCCTCCTCCACCTCCTTCTCCACCTCCGTTATCTGAAGGCGAAGCAGTAAGCAGATTCGTTGAGAGAAAGATGGTTATGACGGTATTTTCTTGTAGGAAATGTATGACGGTGAGCTTACGCTTCCACCTGATTGGAGTGAACATCGCGAACCCGGCGATGCTGCACTTGGGCCTTTGTGGAATGAACATGATGCTGGTGTCGATAGTGATAGCGGTGATGATATTAATGCTAGCGATGATGATGACAGCGATGATGACAGTGATTCTGAAGAAAGTACAAATGCAAATGAAAGTGGAGAAAACCATGATGCTGATACCGACGAAAGCGCAAATGAAAGCGAAGGTGGAGGTGGCCACATAGAGGAACAGTCTGATGACAGTGGAGAAGAAATGGATGATTCGGAGGTTTTGTGTTGAAGCTTCAGTTCAAAATTAGTTTTTTTTAGCTTCAGGATGATGATATTGCTCCAGCAGAAGCACCCAGCAACGATGGTGACTCAGACAGTTCGAGTTCAGATTCTTCGGATAGTGACAATGACAATAATGATCTGCGTTCGGAAACTCCTGAGCAATTTCTCATTCGCGCATATGCAGGTGAATGCTATATTAGACTTAGTTCTTTTGCATTGAGATTTTATTCCTCTTATTTGTCATCTCTTCCTAGCGCAATGATATACTTGTCTTCCTTTCGATTGTCTGTCTTGCAGATTTGAATTCTATCGAGTTGGCTTTGACGGATTTGGAGACTGTAATAGAAAACAATCGACGTGAACTTCTTGCTGAAGGTATTATTTTGATTCAGCACTTAGCTCAAATTCGTAATTTATAGCCTAATTGTTTAGAATCACATCAGGATTCGGAAGAAGAAGAAGAGCCTGACGACACTGTGATTAGGTAAGGTGACCATTATCGTATCACTGATCACCTCTGATATACTGCTACAGTTTTTTTTCTCGTACCGGCTTCTGCAGTAAGTGAATTATTTTTTTTTTTTGTTCAAAGGCAGTGGCTCGGCAGAGTGGACTATTGTCAGATGGTGCTTCAGGTAGTAGACCCTTATGCTCGGTAGCTCAACTCGGGCATCCATTGCATGCTAAGTGCTGATGATGCGCTTCAAAGTCCACCCGTTCCGCCGCTCCCACTGAGAGGCCTTGATGGTGGGCTTCTGAAGCTCGTTTTCAGAGCTCAATGTGTGATTCAGCACGTGGGTTTGGGCTACGGTGCATTCAAAAGGTCTGCTACTGACACTACAACATTCTGACTGGGGTCCAGTTTCTTGAGCCACTGCTTTTAAGCTGCATACTCGCGATGATTAGGTTTCATTACAGAAGCGGAGACTATGGTAGATGCACGATTTGCTTTGAAGAAATGCCTTATGATCCCGTTGGATGCATATACTGTCAACAGCTAATAGGATGCCGTAGGTTCGATAATTTCTTCGTCTGTCGTTTCCGCTCTCTTGTTCTTTTCTTTCTCATGCAACTGCTTTTTTTCAAATAACTACTCTGTCTGATATTTGCAATGTTTGTCCAGCTCTTCTTACTTGTAGATGTGTAAATCGCTGGTATGCGGCTGCAAATCGTAGGGGCGACAGCATTGACTTTTTCGGCGGTCATCCTCCCTCAAATCACAAGCAGTGCCCTCTTTGTAGGCACGAATGGCCAGATCAGGTTGAAGTAACTAGCATCTTCCTCCTCAGAGATGACTGAAGATAAAGTGGTGGGTTTAGATCTAGGAAGTGTTCCGGCGTAAGCCGATTGTTCATTTGCTATCAGCTATGGTTGTTTTATTTCTGTCATTGTTGAAGTAGTTCAATCTGTAATCTGAACATTGGTTTTGAAAAATATTATGTATCCTTGCTTACATTTGCATACGTATCATATCGTATTAGAGAAAGGCTCACATGGTCATTATTGATATGATGTTGTTATCTGGTTGCAAGTGAGTTTTCCACTCACTGACTATTGCCTGTAGGTTTTCTCTTTTATCTTTTACTTCCTCTGTCCGCATATGTTGCATGTCAAACTGGTGATCCTCAGTCTTCCGGGTAGAATTTCCAAAAATTGATTTGACATGGGTTCGCCAGTTGGTTTTTTGCGCCTGCTTTGAATTCGTTTGAATTCATTGTGGTGCATTTCTGATATTTTTCCCCTTACCAGCCGTTGATTCCTTTGCTTCATTCAATTTGGAAGCAAATGTCATGTACATGTGTTATTTGTCTTTAGGTTTTAGCTGTGAATCATATATGCTGCCCTCATTAGGCCGCCAATTTTCTGTATAATGTTAATGTCATAAATTCATGCTCCATAATTGCGATCTACCTTGTCTTTCTGTATGTGCATGTTTCCAGTCCTTGTGCTTTGTTGAATGAAGCTCGTGTTCTTGCGTGTCTACCGTTTTCAGTGGACGACTTGGAAAAGCTGTGGGGCGCGTCCAATGGCGCATGCCCATGCAAGTCATCCGTCAAATACAGCAGTGTGAGCAGGTGCCTGAACACTGCTTTGAAGAGAGGCACGACCGGGTGTTGAGAGGCTGACGTTTCCATTGATTCATTAACAGCTTTTTGTTTTCGTAAGAAGACCAGTCAATAGTATAAGCGTCTTTGGTCGGATTAAACACCACTGCTATTAAAACTCTCTTTTACGACGATTAGCGTTTGATTAAGAAACCATTGATGTGAAGAGCACTTGACATTGAACCAATCTCCAAGGGGGTGCAATCGTTACTAGCTGATCACCAGATTTCTGAACTTTCCTTAAAGGCAGTGGCTCGGCAAATCTCAACCTGGTCAAACTTGCGCTTACCTGGGGTTTTTCAATACGCTGATTCCGAAAATCCACTTTTGAAAGCATGAAAACGGCGAAAATAAGCGTTTTTTAACGCCCTTCCCTTTAGAATTGGATGAGTGGAGCAAGGCCGATACGCTAAGTCGTTGCAGGATCCAATGGTTATAATTGCATCGGGCAGCCTCCAATGTTGAGAAGGAAATTGTCAACTCGTTCAGATGCGTGTAAGATTGGCCTGCGCGTGTAAGTTTGAGAGCGATTTTCTCGGCAGGGAAAGCATGCTGTGCAAAAGGGATTGCACTATTTTCATACTTGAGCGATAAGGAACCTACTGCGTTACCTGAGTTGTTGGATTTTGCCGATCCATTGCCTTTAAGTCCTCCCCCCTTTGGAGCCTGAGCCAACCCTTCCCCTCTCTAAATGGGGACGGAGCAAAAATCCTTTTGAGGAGAGGGGATAGTGTGCGAGGGATAGCATATGATGGTAGGGCCCCTACTAAGCCAACGAGTCGCGGATCAAAATGTCGCTTCGGTGCAATTGCTGAACCATACTCCCTGCGAGCCAAAAATGTCTATATCTCGGTTAGCAACTCTTCTCGTAAGCTGAATTTCCTTACCATTTTGTAGAGCTTTCTTAATTTTAGCTGGGCTGTCGCAAAAAGACCTGCTATCAAATTTCCTTGAGCTGTAACTCCGTGTCATTCAAGTGTCCCTAGTCGTTGCTGTAAGTCTCCTTCCCCAAAGCAGATCCTTTTGCTATAGCCCGGGTAATACCAAGTGGACCTTCCTTTACGAGAAATTCAGATCACGAGATGACCCCTTCGCCGAGATTTACAGCATCAAATAGAATCGCTCACAATCGATTTTTTTTTGCAATAACTCTTGTGTAGCTAAGCAACAACAACAACATCAACGAGGAGTTGGATCTAGAATCAGCTCTTCAAGAGCTATCGAACGATGTGTAATATTTGAGGGTGTGACTTTTCTTAGCCCTACGACGGTGGATGAGACGCTGCAGTCATGCGATTTCACTCCTATCTCCCCATCCCAATGCATTAAAGTGTGTGGGGCTGAGATCGCATAACTACAGCGTCTCACCCACCGTCGCAGGGCTGGAAAAAAGCCCCAAATGTTACATATCATTTGGCAGCTATCGAATAGGAGATTTAAAGTCCAGCTCCTTGTTGATCTTTGTTTATTTACGCAAGACTTAATGCGAGAAAATCGATTTTTGGTTCTATTAGGGTGAACGGTAAAAAATGGGACAGCATAATTTATTACATTTTAAGATTTTTTGTCTCCACCAATAACAAGCAGGCTGCAACTCAAGCGTCGCTTACATAACCGACCTTCGCCTATTAGTCTGGCAGCGCGTTACCGCTCCTCTCTCATAACCGTGCGTGGCGTCGTGAAGAACTCCGCCAGGGTTTTTTTTTTTTTTGAACAACTCTCAATCAGTGCTATACCTTGAAGTCGTAAAGCAAATGACATACCATTCGAAAGAGCTTTTCATGCTCTTCTAAACGATATGTTAAATGCCTAAGATTTCTTTTCTATTTCAGAAAAAAAAAAGCGAAAAACCTAAATAGCTATTTTTGGATCAATAAAGAACCAAAAAATCATGTTTTGCCCTATATTTTCCGAAAATGGATAAAATCTGAGGCAAGCTGCACATGGATGGACAGAGCGTAAAAAGCTCTATCAATCGTACCTAGAAAACATGCGTTCACCTGCAAGGAATTGAATAACGCGTATCTCCGTTCTCGAAGCTGCTAATGGCCATATCTCCTGACTTTGGAAGTTGAGGCCAACAAGCCGTCGTGGGTTCGGTTACTCTTCCACCACCTACTCCAGCAGTGGTACTTTGGGTGGACTCACATGTTTCACTGCGCAGATACTGCTCAAAGTTCATAATTTGTCGAAGTGATTAACTTTGCATTTCAGCAAGTATAAAAAATGTTGATTATGTAAATGACCTTATATAGGTATTATCTGAAAAAGAATAACAAATTCTAACATCTATCAAAATTGGAATATCTAATCACTTCTCTTTTTGGGAAACCTCCAGTCGTTTCGTAAGTGTCCCATTTTACCGTTCACCTTAATATAAAACGCTCTATATCTTGGCGAAGAGGTCCTTCCGTGATCTACTATCACTCTCTTGTAGAGGAAGGTTTACTTGATATTACCTGGGCTGTCGCTGTTTGCTGTAAAAAGGGAGACTCTGCTATAAGGAATGAGACTTACTGCAACGGGACAATTGGATGACACGTGTGAGTTGAAGCTCAAAAGTATCTGCTAAAGCGGATCCTTTCGCGACAGCCCAGATCATATCATGTAAGATTTCCGCTACGAGTTGTAAAGAAATCAATGTACGAGAAGACCCTCTCACCTAGATAAAAAGAAATTTTGGAGGGTGTACAGCACATTAAACCCTTTAACGCCTGCTTCAACTGTAGGCAACATCACACTTCGTTGTTTATTCCAATCCCAAGACCACACAACACAATGACGATTTATTCTCACAACCAGAAAATGTCTTCCAACTATCCTGCAATACGCCCACGTCAAAGCTCCTCTCTAGCCATCTATTTCATCTCCGTGCACCTCAGTGCAGATCCGTGTATAGGGCATTTGAAAACTCGTGACTATGGTGCGACCGCGCGCGACACGCACACCACTTCCGAAAATTTTCTTAGTTTACGACCGCGTTTTCTTAGTTTTCATCTCTAGTCGAATGGTTTATGGCTTACGTATGATAATCGGCCACTGGAAGTGACCGAGCTGAACGTTGAGGTGATGCCTTCTTACGAGCGTTTTATATACCTGTGGGCGCCCGTTGTGGAATTCTTCACGTTCTTATGAATGAACTATACTGTTCATTTTACGAATTCCTCGAAATTCCGTTTTTTAACTTACAAGGGAATGGTCAGAAATCGAAGTGGCCAGTACAGACAAGCTGCATACCATTAGATGCAGCATGAAGCGCTGACTTTAAATCTGTCTTCCTTACCTGCTTGCTTCTCTGGACGAAGCTATAAGCCCTTAAAGACCATTATTTTGCTAAGAAATTATGCGTGAAATTGAAAATTTGGCCGTACGGAGCCACGTTCGCCTTAATGCTGTGCCAAAACATGCAGTTAGCTTGCTTCAAGTTCTTAAAGCTAGAATCTGAGCTAAAAGTGCAACAGTGTGCTCAATTTCGCTGTTTTTATGTATGATTTTCACAATGAAACCGCTTGTAGCTTCGTCCACAGAAGCGATAAACAGGTAGGGAGACAGATTCGTTTTATACTGCACAAGACCAAAGTGCCGCTACGCGGCACTTTGATCTTGTAAGTTAATAAAATATAAAGTTAAGCACTGGGAGTGTTCGTGGCACTTTTCTAGTTGTGTAGACAATGCCGCTTCGCGTACTGTGCTTATAACCCGTTGGATAATGTTTGCACTATATTGTCCCTTCGTTACTCAGAACAGTCTCAGATTGCCCCTTCTCAAGGGGCAATCTCCGCTAACGTTTTTTTTTTCAGAAAAATTAGAGGCTCTGAAATTATCATTGCTAAGCTAAGATTTGTTAGCCGTATCGTATCGCACACCTTCGAAGATATCGCCACTCCATAGTTTTTTTCCTATTGCGCATTCAAAATGACTCTTTCCAAGCCTTGTCGAAAGTTGTACGCAATGGCAATGTTCCGAAAAACATTGCCATACTTCTAGGTACACGATGTGAATTTTCGCAGCACTCGTGGCAGATGTCTTTAAAGATCTCAAAAATCTTTTTTTGTGATGATCTTAGCTCATGTCTGCATAATGATCTTCTTTCTTAATTTTTCAGTGAATAGCGCTTAGAAAGCACGATCTGAACGTGTAATATATCAGAAGAAAAACTTTGACCACCATGGTTTGTATTTTCGCACCCACTCTTTTTGCAATCAGTGAAGCTCTGCGGCAGCACTCAAAATGTGTGGGTCATTGGCGAAAAAAACTGCCAAAATATTTAAAACAAAAGTTTGCATCAAAACGTGGCTTTCGCTCGTCCAGACAGAGCTAAGTACACAGCATCTGTAATGATATTGCTGTTGGAGGCTCTTTTTGGGGTTTTAAGAGGGAAGTAATCTTCGCGATGACCACCTCTCCAAAATTTCACCTCTCTCTTAGCA